AATGTTTTTGTGGCTTATTAACATTTTATTTTTAATATTTTTATTGAACTTTGTACCACGGTTGTTTATTAGGAAAAATTTAAAGAGCAACAAAGTCTAAGCGAGGTTCGATCCCTGCTGAAGTCTAGAAAAAAGAAGTCTGATGAGGAGATGTGGTGATCTCCGAAATAGTGCTATAACTTCTACCGCTTAGACTTGGTTGCTTTTTCAATTTTTCCTAATAAACAATCGTGGTACAAAGCTCAATAAAAATATTAAAAATAAAATGTTAACAAGCCACAATAACATTGACAAATCACTAATATGTTCAATATTTGAAAGAAAGAAAAAATCGGACTGGTTTACTTTCCTGTAGAATTGGCCATATAAATACATATTTAACTGCGGACGAAAAATTGCTGAGGAATGCCGTTATTTAGCAAAAATATACAAAACAGAGTAAAAAATGTCAAATTGTTCGGTTTGTAGCCGTTTGCGAATTACAAATTTGTCCGGACCACCGCGTAGCCGGATTAGGCAGTGACCGTACATGAAAAAATCAGCGCTTTATGAACTAGAAATGGATTGGTGGAAGCAAAGTTGCAAAAAAATCTCTAATGTGTTTAAACTGGCAATCTACACACCACCTTCTTCAGCAAAATCAGAAAGAGTTGAAAATATAAATAGTTAATTGCCCCTTAATGCGGAAAAGATTGTTTTCATTATGAAAAACATGAACATTTTTAAATTTAATTACATAGCGCGACAAAAAAGAAATCGCGAAATACACTCAAAACAAACTTAGTGTATTTTGTAGATAGGGTCGAGTACAATATGAGAAAAGGTTCCTGAGCCCTCAATTTTTTATTTAAAAAAAAACATTTATTTTCGAACTTGTTGTTTTGAAGAGGGGATTTATTGACGGGCCACAACAAGGGTCAAATAACCTAACTAACTTCCTAACTTGCCTAACTTCGACAATTTTTATCCGATTTCATTAAATTAGATATCAATTTGTTCGAAAATTAATAAGTACTACATGTTTGGTAATTTTCAAACAAATTTTTGAAATTAGCGATGTTCAAACAGTGATGCCAGACATTCTCTGTTAAATATCCCACGGAAATGGGGAAAAAATCCCTCAATTACCCACATCTTGAAAATTTATCCCACAAAATTCCCAACGAATTTAAACATATACATGTTTCAGTAGTAAAGAAGTAAAATTCATATAAAATAATAATAATAGTTTGGCGCTTACACATATGTGCTTTTCCTCCAATTTCTGGCGGTCCCCTTGATGTTGTCACACAAAGGGGAGGGACCTACAGTTTTACGCCGACTCCGAATGGCGAGTGTATTTTTATGAGAAGCTGTTTTTCATGGCAGGAATACACTCGGAGGTTTGCCATTGCCTGTCGAGGGCCGACCGCTGTTAAGAAAAACACCCTTTTTCTGCATTTTTTCCCTCATTCATTTTTTCCCTTTCATTTTTTTGCTCACTCAGTAAGAGCGTAAAAGAATTTTTTGGTGACTTTAAAATTGAAGCACATTCATGTGCTATTTAACATTTCATCAGATAATTTGTTCCGCTTTTTACATGAAACACCAGTTACAACTGAAAAGATTCTTTCTTACTCAGCGCTTGAATTGGTTAACGTAAGAAAATTTTCGAAATTGTCCTTATACTTTTTAACAATTATATACCATTTCACTCCACATCACATCTTCAGAACGATTAATTACGTAAGAATGTCGAATATTCTTGAATTTTGATCAATTATGCAACAATAACTGCGTCAAAAGAAAATCCCTTATTTATATGAAGTGTCCCTTTTTTCCCTTTTAATAATTTTTGATGCAAAATATCCCTCAAATAGGGAAATTACCCACAATCTGGCATCACTGTGTTCAAAGATGAAAAAAAAAATTTTAAAATGGGAGTTTTTATTTTACCCCATGAAAACTCCCAACAGTCTAAGTCGAACAATAGATTGTTATACATATGTCACTTTAAAGGTATATAAATCCTATTTTCCAAACGTGTTTGATTTTTGAAATCGGATGAAAACCTTTAAAAAAAATAATGATAGAAATCGGTTAACCAAAGTTATGCGGTAACATACATAAAAAAAAATAAATGAAAAAATTCCGACGAATTGATAACCTCCTCTTTTTTGAAGTCGGTTAAAAATACAATAAAATATTTTTCTGGAAAAGGTTTTCAACTAAAATTTCTAGAGTATAGGATATAAGGAAATAAGTCCTTTCCGTTTATCTACCCTTTACCCTAATCCCTAATGTAGATTTTTAATTGTTACTATATAAGTATATATGTACATATGTATGATTGTATATATTCATTTTATTTTTCCAACATACGAATTAACATACAAATGCTTAAATGTATCAACTAATCACTAAATTATAGATCACATTAGTAAGGCTCTTACTCAACTATTCACAACTACGAATAGAATGCAATTGCAGTATTATAGCGGGGATTGGAAATGAATGAGCGGACAAGTTTTATTGTGCACAGTCAGCTATCAGTATATAAATCTGTCTTTACGTATGTACATATGTATTTGGTGGGGGCACAAATTCGGGTGTGTTGCAGGATGCGGATACCAATGTAATTTAGCAAAAATGTAAGCTGTTAAATTTTTCACGATCATTGCGTACCATATTATTATACTTCCACTTATCCTCCGATGGCGGCTGCTTAGTTTCCCAACTCGAATTCTTGTAGGCGCTTGAATTGCTCGAGGAGTGCTGCTCCTTCGAGTATTTGAACGAGGCGGTATGCGATTTACTGCTACCAGCGCTGGTGCTGCACTGATCGGTTGGTTCAATGTAACGTTCGGTACGCTCGGTGTAAACCATGTTGATGAATTAAACGAAGGGTGCAAAGTCGGACGTATATTTTTCTTTTGAGGAGGAAATCAAATAGCCAATTTGTTTTGAAGTCTACTAAAGTGTGGCCGAAATCTCAAGTTTTCCACAGACCACGCTAATGTTCACGGCACGTGTTGGATTTGGGTTAGAACCTTAAGTTCTAAATTGTTGGCGGTATTGCCGGTGCGCGAACCTTTGCTAACAGCGAGATTTTTGGATAAGCTGTAAGAACGAGAACAATAACGATAGTTTTCAGATAATTTTGTATTATGAATTTTCAGAAATGTATAGAAATGTGTTTACTTACTGCAAGGACTTTAGAAGCTTCAGCTTGGTATCAGTTGGCGAGGGTCTCAGCATTGACACCAATCTATTTGGCAAATGGTCATCTATTTGAAGTAATTGTAGGATAAACGGTACTTTCTTATGGATACTTGGTACAGAGGAATATCAGCCAGATTTATGTGGTACACAAGTTTTTGCAAAACCCACTTTCTTTTCTTGGGCAAAATTAGCCTTCTGATTTTAGTTATAGTGCAATTATGGAAATGCGATTTTCAAACTCACTGCAATCGACCCTCTAAGTTGATTTGTAAAACCTTACTAACGCGCTCCCGTGCATTGCAGCGCTCTTAAATATTCTCCTCAGGTGCAGCGTGGTTCTAACAGGCTAACCTAATATTCGCGGCTTGCGTTTTGGTACGCGTGCCGTCGAATTCGTTTTTTTGCGTCACCCGAAATTGACTTGCATGCGTTTGCATTTGATTTTATTGAGCGAAACGTCAAATCAAAATGTCACGCAGAACAAAAATTGGAAATTGAGTTAGCTTCATACGCACGCCGTTCAATTTCGGTTGATCTCATACAAGTTGCATGTGCATGAGAAATTTTTGACAATAAATTGGCGGCGTGCGTGAATATTAGGTTAGCCTGTAAAGTCGTTGTGCGCCAAGTGGAGTGACTTCGAGCAGTCAGAAGGTAGGTATGTATGCGATCTGAGCATTTAACGCGTCTCATATTTTTCGTTGAAACAACAAATGCAAATCAGTTTCTCAACAGGTTTAGCGCTTTACTTAGCCACAGTTGTGAAAGGGGGCGTGCGAGGAAAGGGTAATATGCCAGCGATATTTAGTATGTAGACAAATAAAAATTTTGCTGTTCAACTTCGGCACGTTTGCGTCGCAGCCGTTGCTTTGCTACCAGCCAGTCAGCAACCAGCCATTGGCCGCTGGTGGAATTTCTCACAAAGTGAAAAATATGATGCAAAGTTTCAACAACGGCCCGTAGCAGCTCGTGACGGTGCAGGGCCCCAATGTCAGCAATATCAAAAGAAATATTACTTTCATTACTTTTCGAGAAAGATTTGGAAATAAATTTTAAGGTGCCGAAAATATTTGATAAGCATATTTTCCCGATCTTCCAAGATCCAACCATCGGAATAACATGAAATTTTTCTAAGGAATTAGTACACACTTTATGAGCCGAATACGCAATTATGAAACGCAAATACCTATGTACTATGCAAATACATTAGACCGCGTCAAAAAAAAATAAAAATCCTGCAATGCGACGGGAATAAAACTCAAATTTTTACATTTGGTATAGTAGTGGTCCTCCATGAATCTCCCCTCTCTAGGATAATTGAAAGAGGTCCCGCGTCTAGCTTTTGGTATATACTAGATTTGACACAAATAGGACAAGGGATTAAAATAGGATAATTTAGAAATGTAAATAATCTGAGCCTGCATAATACTTAAATAGCATGTACTCAATGTATTTTTACAGTTTCCAGCGTTTTCATTGCTCCTAGAAAATTGTTTTGACCTCAACAGGAAAGAATTCATTTTCTTACGTGTAATTCCTATGGGAAAACTAAAAGCTAGACGCGGGACCTCTCACAATTGTCGTAGAGAGGGGAGCTTCATGGAGGATCATTACTATACCAAATCCTAAAATTTGAGTCTTATTCCGGTCGCATTGCAGGATTTTAATTTTTATGACGCGGTCTAATGTTCATATGTATATTTATATATAGTTTTATACATACATACATAGTTATATACATATACATACATATGTATATATCTATTTGCAGAGAAGGCCCCAGTTATTGTGGTAATGTTGTTATTATTCCGCAGCAACTGATGAAAGTTACCAGTCGCATTGCATCAGCCATTTTCTGACCAACAAATTCATACACGCAAGCCATACAAATGTATATACACTCATACACATTTAGGAAAAAATCACACCTTTACCCCTTGTGGTTTGTTCAAAAAGTTGGTCAAAATCGAATGTCAATGCGACCGACAGACGGACAGGGAGATGAACACGCAACAACATTGCCTTACATAGCAAGTCCGATGCTTATTTATTTTAACTGTCCGTCCTTTCATTCACCTAAGCAAAAAATCACCGTGGACTTAGTATAAAAAGGCATCCCAACCATTCAATAATGCAAAGCATTCTAGTCTGTTCGCATGTCACAACAGGTCATTTGTTCTGTCCTCGCATATCTATCGTCGATTTATTCAAAGAAATCAAAAAAGTTATTTGTAACATTAGAAAAATAATTTCGAAAATGCTTTGAAACTCATCTTTACCAAAGTTTATCGGAATTCATTTAAAATTATTCATGAAAATTGAAATCGTTTTAATTTTTTATACACAGTACTTGTTTGATTAATTAAAAGAAATCTTTAGGAACTACTGTAGATATGAGATATTAGAAAATATAAAAAGAAATAATTACACCACCATTAAAGGTATACAAAGCTACCCTGCAGCAAATCAAACTCGTTCAGAACTCCTGCCGAACCAGCTCGAAGAGGCATAGTACTAGTTCTTCATCTATCCCAAATCAATGCTTTCAACTGCACTCTAAAAAGTTCATTTAAAACTGCTACTGAAAAGTGTTTATTTTTCAACCAGAAACTACTAATACTAATACTGAACAGACAGTGTTTAACTTTATCAACACGGTGTGTAAATTTGCACACATTAGGGGAGGAAACTGTGTATCTCTTTTTAAATGCATAAATTTAAAGTACCGACATGAAACAAAAACTTTAACACGATTTGTACGGTATGTATACATATTGCTGATTTTAAAAGCGTTCTACGCCAGTTTAATATTTGCCTATACTAAGTATTTTCCTGTCAGCGCCTATAGGCGATCTAATATTACAACATATCGCACACCTATGTAGATCTTAAGTGAGCTAACTCAAAATTCAGATAGGAAATTATCAAGCCCTAACCGCCAAAATAACGTAAGCGACATTTTTTTCAAAATTGAAATGCAGAAATATTCCTAGGGCATCTAGATGTATTTCTGCATCAAAAGGAAAATTTTGAAAAAAAATGGCGCTTACGTTATTTTGGCGGTTAGGGCTCGATATAACTGCTTGGCGATCGTACAGATTCAAAGCAATTAATACAAAAACTGGTATAACAGTAGTTTTTTTTTGTTGGTGTATATAATCACGAGGAAAAAGATATTTGCATTAATTGGTAAGTCTTATGAATTGATTTATGCAACAGAATCGTCCTAACTTTAATTTTTATACTTTTTTTGACTCGGTAAACTATTCAATATTATGTCATAAGCTTAAATGCTATTATGGGTTTGATGAAAACTCATTAAAGTTTCTGAAGAACTATCTTACAGACATACATCAACGCGTTAGGGTTGGTACGAATACCTTGAAACCTGAAAAGCTTACGACAGCAGTTCCCCAAGGGTCAATTCTAGGGCCTCTCTTATTTAGCTTATTTATCAATGACATTTTTCGTGTTTGCCAGTTTGCAAGAATGCATGCTTATGCGGATGACATCCAGCTATATCTTTCAAATAATTTTGAAAATCAAGATTTAATAATTCGTCAACTTAGCCATGATCTATCTGCCATTGAGCAGTGGTCTAAGAGAAATGGTCTTTGCCTTAACTCGGGAAAGTCTTTTGTTTTACCAATCGCCAAGAAACTTGACATTACAACAATACCCCATATAGTTCTTGGAAATAAACCTTTAGAATATTTAAATAAAATAACAAACCTGGGATTTGTCATTAATTCGAGCTTAAGTTGCAAGGATTATATAAATTCTGTTGTTTCCAAAGCTTATGGTGCGCTAAGAAACTTACGTCAAACTGCGGAATTTACTCCAGTAGGCACAAGACGGCAGTTAGCGATTCAACTTATAGTTCCTATTATTACCTACTCCGAGCTAGTTTATAATAAGCTAGACTCTGCATCGGCTCATAAGATCAGTGTAGTATTCAATCATGTAACTCGGTATGTGTACGGATTAAAAAAGTTTGATCTCATATCGAAATGGAGGGCAAGTCTGTTAGGATGTGCAATTCAAGACTACTTAAAGGCAAGAAGCTGTATTTTTCTGTTCCGGATAATCCCTACAAAGACACCCTTCTACCTCTATGAGAAGTTAATATTCCCAAAGTCTGAGCGCTCAAATTACCTTATTGTACCCAACTATAACTTTATAACATCGACTAGACTATTTTTTATCAGTGCTATTAGAACGTGGAATTCTATTCCACTCATAACAAGAGGCAGCTTAAAGTTTATTTGTTATTAATTTCAATTAATGCGAATTTTTGTACTAATGGTTCTTGTTTAATAAATGAAATGAAATGAAATGAAACTTGTGCACAAGGGTATATTAACTTTGTTCACATAACGTTTGTTTGTAACAGCCAAAACGGATCGGGATAGATATAGACAAATGTATACATAAATGCTTAGAATGAATAGAGAAGTCGATTAAGCCATGTCTGTCTGTCCGTCCGTATACACGATATATTATATACAATAGATTGGCGCTTACACATATGTTAGTGTTTGGCCAAGCTTCTCCTCCGGTTTGTGGCGTGCGCCTTGATGTTGCCAAACAAAGTGGAGGGACCTACAGTTTTACGCCAACTCCGAACGGCGATTGTATTTCTATGAGAAGCTGTTTTTCATGGCAGAAAAACATTCGGAGGTTTGCCATTGCCTGCCGAGGGGCGACCGCTGTTAATAAAAAACCTTTTTTCTAAATTTTTTTGCGATGTTGCTTTGACCAGGGCTTGAACCCAGGCGCTGCGAAGTGGAAGCGCGCACTGCTTACCATTACACCACAGCGGCCGCCACCGTGTACACGATAACTCGAGCAAAAATTTACATATCTCAACGAAATTTGGTACGTAGGTTTCCATTTATCCAAGGTAGGTTGATATTGAAAATGGGCGAAATCCGACTGTAACCACGCCCACTTCCCACATAACGGTAATTTTCAGAAATGCGAAAACTGTCATATTTTAGTAACTATTTACTGAAGATTATTCACTCAAAATTGATATTTAAAATAAATTTTAGACGAAAAATAAGATTATGATAATTTTTTGGAAAACGGGCGTAGCCACGCCCACTTATGGTTACATGTCCATATCTTGCTAACCGCTGAACTAATTTCTTTCAAACTTGACACAATAGTTGACCTTGACACAGCATACCAAATGGCCGAAAATTTTTAAAATCGGACAATAACCACGCCCACATCCCATATAACGGTAATTTAGAGAAATACCAAATCTTCGATAAATCAGTAAATATTAAATCTAATTTATTCAAAATTAATGCTTGCAACAATTATATACCAAGAAATACGTTTATAATAAAATTTTGGAAAATGGGCGTGGCGCCGCCCACTTGTGATCACATATATGTATCTCGGTAACCGTTCTCGCAATTTGTACCCAACTCGGTATGGTTATTGTGTTTGCCACATAAAAGCAAAACGTTGAAAATTATGGGAATCGGAATAAAATTACTTCTGCTTTTCATATAATGGTAAATTTCAGAAATGCTTGAAACTTCAATATTTCGAAAGTTAAGGACGCGAATTTTCTCAAAATTGATACACCCCGGCTTACCATGTAGCGGTAGCTTTCGGAAAGGTGAAA